CTGCTGATTAGAATTTTTTTATAAAAAAAATAACATATATAGATTGTTTTAATGTATTTTTTAATATGAAAAAAATTCAAAGTATAAATTAAAAAATTTATATAGGTATCTCATTAAATAGATAAATAATTATTTAGGTAAATAAAAGGGGAAAAAGTAATTAATAATAACCGAAGAAAATTTGATAAAATTGAAAGATGAATATAAATTAAAATATTCAACCACACAAAATGAAATATTCACCTGATTGTGTTTACTGAAATTGTTTATTAAAATCAATAAAAAATAAATCCACAACTTAAAAAACTCATGATTTAAAATATAAATACAAATGAAACTAACTAAATAAATTCATGCTTTAAAAAAATATTATACAAAGCCAAACCAATAATTTTTATATTTTTTAAAAATAAACTTTATTTTAAAAAAATCAAAATAAAATTTTAAATGAATTAACATAACATCTTGAAAAATCAAACACAAACAAAACAACACTAAAAAACTTATATTAAAAAAATAGCATGCAAAACCCGTCACCTAGATTATAAGACCGGGATAAACTCAAAGAAAAGAAATTAAAGATAATAACAAAATTGATATTTAAAAAAAATACAAAGTGATAAAATTATATGAAATCGAATCTTCAACAAATCAAATGTCAAAAGATGAGATCAAGAAAAAATATCAACTACACAATAGAATCTAAAAAATAAGAGTGGAAAAAACATTAATTAGAAGGCAACTAAGAATTTGATTTGATAAGTCCTCTATAACATGTCATAATTTTTCTTTCTAAAAAAAACTAGAGTATACAAACTATTTTGATGTCTTTTTTAATATTAAAAATTATAAGTGTAGATCGAAAAGTTAATCCAAGCATCTAATAATCATCTTTGTAAATAAAAAAAATTGTTAACAATAACTAAAAGAAAAACTGGAAAAATTAAGAGACAAACATAGATCAAGATATCTAATCTCGTAGAATGAGATATTTACATGTTTGTGTCTACTAAATTTGTTCTTTAAAATCAATAAAAGATAATATAAATAAAAACACATATAAAATAAAGTGAATAAAACAAAAGGAAAAAAAGTATACACGCGAACATATAAGAAATAGTATTTCAAAATAACTATTTTTTATACAAAACAAAACCTATTTTTATAAATTAAAATAAAAAATCATCAAAAATTAAACACAAAACAAAAAAATTATTTTTTAAAAAATCTTTATCTAAAAACAGCTTGCAAAACTTGTAGTTTAAGTGATAAAACTGAGATAAACTGATAAAAAGAATATAAAGGTAACAACAAAACCTTTTTTTTAATAATGTAGAATGATAAAATTGAAAAAAAAAACGAGAAAAAAAATAATTCCAAAATGTATTCAAACTTAAAAATTATGACTTGTGTCATTAAATTGATAGCATGCCAAATAAAAAATCGTAAAGCCTAATCCTAAATAAATCAAACATCGAAGGATGTAATTGAGAAAAAAATCAACCATATAAAAATATTTAATTAAAAATAAGGGTAGAAACTGAAATAAAAAATAAATTTGAGGGCATTTAAAAATTAAATTGTAGGGTTAAATAAAAAAATAATTAAAACAAGGAAAAAAGAAATCAAAACAATGAAGGTTAAATTAAAAAAAAAACAAAAACAAAAACTTTGATTGAAGGATAAAATTGAATACTAAAAAAAATTTAATAAAAGATCCAAAGATAAAAATGACTAATCAAAAAAATAAGGATCATATTAAAGAAAACAATATATGACAAATTGTAATTTAAAGATTGAATTAAAAATATAAAAATCTTTTCTAAAAATACCAAGGACGAATAAAAGATCCAAAGATAAAAATAACTAATAAAAAAAATAAGGATCATATTAAAGAAAACAATATATGACAAATTATAATTTAAAGATTGAATTAAAAACATAAAAATCTTTTCTAAAAATATCAAGGACGAAGAGCACGTTGCGGTGCTTCTAGAGGCAAAAGGCTATTTCCATATAAATGTTGGTGCCATGAAAAACACGTGCCAATATCTTTTTTGAATCAAATATTAAAATCAAATATTAAATTATTAGGAAGCCTCATAACTCTGGAAATAATAAATAAATCAATATGAAAATATCAAAACACACTTGAATGCATTGAAGTTGTTTTATCTTAACTAATAGTACAAAAGCATTTTACTTATTTTAAAGTTTATGAAAAATAAAAAAAAATTTCGATAAACAGGTTTAAATTTCATTAATCTTGGGAGTAGAAGTATATTGTTATTATATAAAATAATTTTAAAAAATAATAATAGCCATGTTTAATCTTTTAATGATTAATGAGTCAATATAAAAGATCAAAATACCCCTATATCCTAGCTTTCCAACTTTTCTACTGAGAAGCACAAAGATAAATTTATTATAGCAATCCACATTAAAATATTTCTATTGCTATAGTGAATTCACCATGTATTTTAGAGTTTTGTTAAATATTATTATACATACACTAATAATACAGATTGATTAGCTGATATATTAATAGATTTGTCTTAGATAAACTACTGATGTGATTTA